CTATAAATATATTATAGATTGACCCCAAGGATCTAATTGCAATAACTCTTAACTTTCTGAAATTGCAACTAGATCCTTGGAAATTATCTAATTTTCAAAATTGACCCAACCCTAAAATCCCAAAATCTGCATCTTGAACATCTGGCCAGCTTCTTCCCGTCGTCCTTCAGCTCACAGCCATGGTCGTCGAGTCTGAAATATTCTTTTCTGAGGTCATCTTCTCAAGAAAATTCCCTCGGTTGTTTTTAATGGCAGCCACAACATCCACCTTGAGGTCTTCGCGAGTTGAACCAAACGCCGAAATATCGCCGCACACCTCAACTTTGAACTAGCGGCCGACGAACCTGAGCGGTGTCCTACCCTATCGCACTTCTGTTCAACTCGCCCTACGATTATAAGCGTCTAGCCCGAGAGCAGAAGCGGGTGGCATAATTCGTCAAGCTCGTCGGAAGTCCTTGCTCTTCTCCCGGTGAAGAGCTCATAGCAGGTCGGCCAGAAAACGCGGTTCTCAGCACTGACAGCCCCTTGAAAATCCGGCATAGATGTTGATCGGTCCATAGTCGTCGGCTGACAGTTATTGTCGGTCAACGACAACCGCCGCTGGCAGTCAACGACGACTGTTCAACAATTTATTACTTTTTTTATTATATAATTATTTAAATATAGTAATAATAAATTTTTTTATTATTTAAATTATATATTTTTCTAATTGATTATTGTAAGATTTGACCTAGACAAAATCAATGACTATGATTGAGTCTTACGTACTCATTTAAGGAATTGTTTCATTGGATCCACCTTCTATATATATGTAAAAAAATATGACAATTATTTTCATTTTCGCATTCTTCTCCGTTACATTTTCCTTTAGTCAAGTAATTATATTTTTATTTATTTTATTGAATTATGGTTACAACTAATTAATCATAAAGTCACACTAAATGATATTATATTCTAACTTTTCTTTTCAAACAATTTATTTAAAATTATTATCTTTTTTTCAACTCACTAAGAAAGTTTATAATTATTAAAATTAATTCATTATTTTTTTATGGCATAACCAAACCCTATAAAATTACTTACACAATGACTATAACAATAATTTTAATATTAATTTATCTAATGATGGTCATAATCAAACCAAGATTGCAAAATTTACAATAATATTGCAATGAAATAAAAATTAATATGCAAGTTACATAACTTATATTTATACGTTTCATTCTTATCAATGCTAACTTATAAAAAGTTATATACCTATTATCTAACTTGTGATTTAAATAATACATATACACATGTAACTTATAAATTGAATAATATACATACACACATGTACTTCAACTATTTTTTTAATGTGGTCTTTTTTTTCCATTTTTTAAAATGAATCCTTCATCAATGTCCGTGTTGAATCCGGAAATTTCGTACCCACCATTGAGGGCCGATGTACTATTTATGCCTATAAAATACAACCCCCATTTGCTTCTTTCCCAACAAAAACTTGAAACACAAAAGCTATACATAAAATAAAACAACATATAAGAATGGCAAAATCCCAAGTTAGCTTATGCAAGCTCTTTGCTCTCTTCATCAGCTTTCTTCTCATAGCATCATGTGGTAAAACAGTAACTCATAACCATGTTCTCTCTGTTCATCACTCGCACACACGAGTCGAAAATTTAGTAATCCCGTCACATACCCACCGGAACGGAACATATTACTTGTTTGATATAATGTTTTTGTTTCAAATTTTCCAAAGCACTCTTTACACCATGTTTTCTTACTTTACATCATGTATTATACAAAATATTTTTCTAAATTTACTCACTTCTTGACTGCAAACTAACATGATGTCTATTTGTACTGATATACGAACATAAATACATGATTTTCAAAATTGCCTTATTTATTTAGTAGTCTTGACTTTAATATCAACATCTTGAATCCAATTACTTTATATATATCGATGGTCAACGACTGCAAATTTCATCAAATCATATAACACTCCCTTTTGATTATAACAGGGATTCCAGTGGCGGAAGGTGGTAGCCCGCTATGCAGTAAGATGAGCCAGACTTGGAGTGGCTTCTGTGGGATATCTAAACACTGTGACAACCAATGCCGGAAATGGGAGAAGGCCGAGCGCGGGGCCTGCCACCACAAGGGACTTGGATTTGCCTGCTTTTGCTACTTCAAAAAATGCTGAGGAGCTTCATGATGGAAAACTTTGAGTTCTCTGTCGTGTTTTTTATGTTTATTAATCCGTACTTTTTATAATTGCACTATGTATTTTGGTCGTTGGCTGGGTAGTTGTGTCGTATGTGTACACTTGGCCCGGCACATGTCTCGTCATTGTTGTGTTGTCCTAATAAAATCTTTTATTTAGCAAGGAAAAATTTCATTAGCAGTTCCACCATTGGAAAGTTTATGCATTTTATTTTATTAATCTAAACATTTTAAATATATTAAAAAAAATTAAGTGTATGCCCTCATTCATTTACTTTTATTAATAAATAGATGTCTCATCTATTAAATTTTCTTTAATTAATACTCCTTTAATCATATTTTTTTATTATTTAATTAAAATGCTAAGCAATAAAAGAAAATGAGTATTAATCTATGATATATTGAGCACAAAATCTCGCCCCTCACCAAGATTCACGTGAAAAAAAAAATAAGGAGAGTTCTTCCCTTGGTCACCGAGTTAATTGAGAATCATATTCCTACCAAAATAAAGACTCCTTTTTTTCTTCTAAGTCCCAAAAACCTAGTACTATAAATACATCCCCTCTCCAATCAGATTTATTTTTCCTACGCTAAATATATTCCAAGAGATAATAAATCCCATCATAAAAAAAAGAATCGAGCCCCACCTCACGGCCGAGTCCCTTAGCCGCGAGCCCGCGCCGCACGGCCCGTCCGCGCGTCCATCCCAGCAGTCGAGCACCAGCGAGCCGCACAACCGAAACCGAGCGCAACCCCGCAAGCACGCGCGCGAGGGCCCAACTCGAGTCCCTTCGAACTGATTTTTATTCCTTTTCTCGAGCACGATAAAGCGGCCCTTTTTCTACCCATGGGCTGAGATTATGTGTTCCTAATGATAAAAAATAATTAAGATTAATCTATACTTATATAATAAGGTATCATATTTACCAAATTTAGTAGGTTGAAAAGTCAACGTAATTAATGCATTGCTATTTCTATCCAGAATTTTATTTTATTTAATTATTTTATTCATTTGTCTTATATCCCATAAAATCAATTTCAGAAAAAAATCCCATAACATCTGATAAGTAAATAAAAGGACGTAAAATCTTGACTTAAGTAAAAAAAAACTTTATTTATTTGTCTTATTCCATATTAACATCGATTTTGTCAAAACAAATCCCATAAAATCGGTAAACTCAAAATTTGTACGTAAATTTTATCTATACTAAAAAAAGGAGATTCAAAATTCCTTACCTAATCCCTTCTTTTCTTTATCTAATTCCTTCTTATTATCTAATTGTATGGAAATCTATTCTGATTTTGTTCAATCCTCTAATTGTATTTGTATTATATACCATAAAATCAGTTTAACAAAAATAAATCCCGTAACGTCCGATAAGTAAAAAAAAGTACGTAAACTCTTTACTAATATAAAAAGGCTTTATTTATTATCTAATTTATTATCTAATTGTATGGAAATCTGTTCTATTTTGTTCAAACCGATCTCTGAATATTCAGATTCAAATTTTCTAATAAAAATATTAACAGCAATATATATATCTACTCTACCCATTATAAATTACAAATCTCAAAATATGGAGACATCATCTTCCTCACTGTCAACCTCCTGCAAACAAATAATATCTCCAATCAGTCTTTTATTTAAAACAATGAATCAAGGATTTGGGTTAATCAAACAAGTCAATAGGTCTAATAGACCTATGCTCGAAGTTCGAATCGTGAGAATGTTTCTTCAAGACTGGGGTGTTTGTTATGTTTTTGTGCTTATTTTTATGTGTTTATGTGTATGATCGAGTCAGTTTTAGGTTCATTTTAGGGTCGACCGGTCCATTTTATCGTCTTTCGTGTGTTTTTGTGTCTGTCGTGTTATTTTGTACTTTGGTGTACTTCTCCGTGTTTTTGGTATATTTTCAGGTTTATTCCGAGGACGAATAAAGGGAGTCGAGCGAAGTTCCCGAGAATTCCGAGAAGTTTCGAGCCATTCGTACGAACAATAACTCTCGATGCGGACTCACATTAAGCAACCCCAACTCGCGATCTCACAGCCACCCCCACGCCTCGCGCACGCCCGCCTACCACTCGCGACCACGCGGAGAACGTGGTGAGCTCGAGAGTGCCGCGGTACCATGGCCCAGGATGCTCGCGACCTCGAGGGAGATGTGGCGAGCTCGAGAGTGCCTTGCGTCAGCCGTCCATGCGCTCGCGGAAACGGGCGCGAGCTCGAGAGTGTCCCTTCCCTGCCTACCGCGCTCCCACGTGCTCGAGGATTCCCGCGCGCCATCGAGAGTGTTGCTACCCGCGCCAGCCCCCGACCGCGGCCTCGCGGATTTCCCCTCGACGTTGAGAGTGCCGCGCCCATGCACACCTGTCCGTGCCCGTGCGCGCCCTGGACCTGTGAGCTCGTGAATTCTGTGGCCAGCTCGAGAGTGTCCTATTAAATGTACGTGTTTTTAGTGTGTATTTGTTGTGTAGCTATAAGTAGACATTTTGCTTTGTATTTTTGGAGATAACCCTCATTTCCCAACTTTTAAGTTGGAAAAATTCTCTCTACTTTTCTTTTTTCCTTTTTATGTTTTTGTTTGGAGCATATGAATCAAGTTTTCCGGCAATATTTTTGGCGACATTGTTTCGAGTAAAGTTTCGAGCTTTTGACTCTGTTTCTCCTTCCAAGTGCGTGTAAGAGTGGGTACTTAGTCTTAAGCCCCATTACTTCGTATATCTAGTTTGCTTTTCGTGAAAATTGATATTGTGCTTGTGTTGCTTAGTGGAAAAGATTGAATCTTTAGATCGTGAATGCTTGACTAAGTGTGATTAGGAGTTAAATGCTTGCTCATCTTGTGCTAGAGTTTGGTTTAGCTACGGTTTTTGCTAGCATGACAGTGTTCGGTTATTTGTGCGTGGTTGATCATAGAGACTCCGGCGAACCAAAATCTCTTTTTCCACCTTATTTTTTCTCATCTTCTTGCGTGTTTTCTCTTGCCTTGTTAATTGCTTTCAATTGCCCTCAATTTCGTAGATTAGTCTAGCTTAAATTCAAACCCTCAAGCGAGTAGCATGTTTAGGACCTTTTCGGTTGTGTGATTTGGCGACTGGATAGTGAACGAAGCTCCGAAGAGCCTTCCTTTGAGAACGACCTGAGGCCGGGTAACTCGGTTACCAGTACCCAAAAATACTGCAAACATGTGGCAGCACATACAAATCATATCTCGAGTTGGTTCTACATGATAAAACTGTAAGCCGAATTATTTGAATTTTTGTTTTAATTTCGAAGTTTGAAACGTATATTCAATTTTTTTTTTTTTTTTGTTTTCGTGTATGTATTTAGATATTTTTGTACATGTTCAGTGAAATATATTTTTGAATTTTTAATTATATTTTCAGATTTACAATTTGGCTTATTTATTCTACATATCGTGTATGTATTTAGATATTTACATTATTTATATTTATTTTTGTGTATTGTAAGCCTTTTATTGAATATTGCATCTTATAGTATAATAATCCCCAAATAAATATATCCCGTGCCTCACACAGGTTACGTAGTATATATATCCCATACATTTTTCTTTATTCATTTATATAACTATAAGGCTGGATAAATGACCTTAAAATTGTACATCCCGTGCATCGCATGGGCTCTGTACTAGTAAAAATTAAAGAGATTAAAGAGAATTCAAGAGAAAGTAGATCTAAGTTCAATCTTGGATCGATTGTTTTTCAAGAGAATTTATATAAGTGTTTAAAGTTTGGAAAAATTGAATAATTATGCTTGTATAAGAGTTAGGGTAATCGAGAATTTTTTATTAAGAGCATGATGATGAGATCTATTGAAAAGAGAAGAAAATTTGATGTCTTATGCATGTTTTTATGATCTTTGTTCATGTTTATGTGATTGATTAAGTGATGGAAATTTATGTGATATTGATCATGTTTTAGGATGTGAAAATCATGTTTAGGAGTTTGGTTTAAGTTTCCTTTGTCAAGTTTTAGATTGATGAAGTTTTGTTATGATTAAGATGTAAATTTGCTGGTTTGTTTTCCTCTATTCATGAGTTGTTTGGACATTTAAGATCGTATTTCTTGATATTGCACTCTTAATAAGAATTGTAGTTCATTTTGCTGGCGTTCTGTGAGTTCAAGATCTTACAACAACCTTTTGTAATTTGGGAGATATGATTGTTTTAAAAAAAGTGCGCAAGCATTTTTCTAAAAAGCTGACAGAAGGTTATAAATTGAGTTTAACTTATTTTTACCACTTCAACGTGCTCAAATGGAATTGAGGTCTTCATTTTGAGTTTTTCTGTATTTTCTGTTCGTTTTCCGGTTTTTTCTGTTTTCCTTCTCGTTTTTGGTGTGCAGGTCGAACGATTCAGAAGGATAGGAATTCTGAAAAATATTGTCCGGGCAAGCATAATTAACTAGAAGGGTTCATTGGTGTCAAAGAGGAAAAACATAACTCAATTCTGAGTTTGGACGTGCTCAAACGAGCCCAAAACGCAAAGCTACGCAAAGCTGCCTAAGCACAGGCCACCGCGCGCGCCAGCTCCCAGGCGCCTTGTTAGATCCGCTTTCCATGCCTTAGCGTCGCTCGCTAGAGTGCCCTAGAGACCCCGTAACGACCTCAGAGACCTGCGTCCAACCACCCTTAGCGCCGCTAGGGCCTAGCGCGGGCTGAAAAAATATTTTTTTTTTGTTTTTCTCCATTTTATGAGCCCTATATATTGTGATGTGTTCCCAGACCTAAATATCATTCCCCAAACTCGTTTTTTATTACTTTTGTCTCTAGGTTTTGAATCTTTCACCTTTGCTTTTGGCTTGTTTTCTTCTTGATTTTCTCGAATTAAGCTTTTTCCTCGGATTCAACTTTGAATTCCGTTCGAGTGTAAGTCTTCTCTTTGTTTAAGTTACGAATATGATTGCTTAGGTTGAGATGAATGTTTTTGTTGAATTTGTCATGAGTAGCTAAATCAGATCGCT